ACATGATCTTCAGAAATCATTCTAATATGCTGATTTGCTGCTCAAGAAACATTTCTGATTATTATTATTATTAATTATATTCAAATAGATAACAGTTATTTTAAATAGTAAAAATATTTCAAAATTTTACTGTTTTTGCTGTACTTTGGATCAAATAAATGCAGGCTTGGTGAGCAGAAGAGACTTCTTTAAGAAACATTAAAATTTTACCGTACATGACCATGAAACAGAATCTGAGGTTTACCTCCTCGTTGGGTGCCATGGCTCTGTTGGGGTGCTGGTCTGCGGTATCGCTACCCAGGGTTTTGTAGTAATCCCCAGTGCTGGGCTGCTTGCTGAAGCTACGGGACTTTCGATTAGAGTCGACTCTTCGAAGCCTTTCGTGGCCCTCGCCAGGATTCAGCTGCTGGAGAAATGAGCAGCACGTTTATAGTAATAGAAACAACATGAACATGCATGAGTTTACCAATCAGCCATTTAAAAACTTTTATTGATCAACCACTTCATCTCATCTGCAGCCCTCATCAGTGGTATTAGCTGTAAAACCCAATGAGAAATTGCCTTAAAACAATATTTATGAGTGCTGTGAATTTATTTCAGGAGTCCACTAAAAGTAGTTTTTTTTTAAATTAATTTACGCTATGAACTGTACTCAAATACTTTGTGTAACTAAAATTTGAACTGAAATTGAACTGAACTAAGCAAAAACATCATTAAAATTAGAGACATCAAATTAACTTGCAGTGGGTTTTGCAGTGCTTCAGTCCAAAAGAAGTGAAATAAAGCACATCCATCCATAATAAAAAGTGCCTCACACGGCTCCGGGGGTGAACAAAGGCCTCCTGTAGCGAATCGATGCGTATTTGTAAGAAAAGTAACCATATTTCTTCTTCTTCTTCTTAATGTTTAACGGCGGTTGGCATCCAGTGTAATTGGTGAATTACAATAACCATATTTAAAGCGTAATAATCAATTTAATCTAGCTTGTGCTCACTGTTGTACACGGAAGCAGCTCTGGGCGGATGACGTAGGACATCGGCGTTGCGCAACAGTCACGAATTAGAAGTACAAAACGAAGATTTGTAAAGAAGAATGTCGGAGGATTTCGATATAAGCCAAGAGGAGACTGGTTTTCCTTTGCTAAAGTAAGGAAACTTTGCTTCCTTTGCTCCTGTTAACAAACGTTGGTTTTCACGAGACTCACCGGCGCATGCGCAACGC